TTGCAAAGTATGATGGAATAAGGAATCGAAATGTATTTCAATGGCTAAACCTTTGCTCGATGAATAACGGAGTCTGTTTAATTAAGATTATAATTAAAAATTAACTGTTTTTTTTTTGGGGGGGGGTTACAGCTTATGCTGATTACAACAATGGATATAATTGCCCAAAAATATTCAATTTATTCATCTCGGATTTCGCACCATCGCTTACATCTAAAAATCTTAAATCATTAAGCAGGTCTTGGCTCCCTGGTGGCGGTGCGTAATATTGTCCTCCATTCACTGGAAATTGGACATAGGCATACAACGTAGGATAACGGTACTACGCCGAATTTTCCAGATCTTGACTGCTTAAGCAGCGTAAATATACATTTTAGCTGTTACATAAGTAGAAAGTCCCTGATTTGTGATATTCGTCGCGTAACCAACTTTACAGAATAATTTTTATAAGCCATCAGTTATTACATCATAGAAGAAACTATTCCTCGCTGAAAGCATATCTGCTTCTACCCTGTTTCTCCATGCTGCACAGTGACCTCATCGTCGACACCTGCCTTGTTTCGGCTTCGAGGTCATGGGGGTTGGAGTAAATGATTTCTGCTCAACCAATTTGCCTAAGAGGGATAACATACTTTTCGTAATCTCCATGTATATTGAGATCGCCTGTGCCCCAACGAAAATAGTCATTTATTATGTGGTCATGCCATTTAACCCTCGTTATGCATCGAAGCCAATACTGTTGCATGCTTTCAGATGTCGTTCTTGCTACATCGTTAGAACAATTGCCTTCATTCCGCACAACAGTACTCATAACAGGGAAAGGTACAGACGAAGATTTTCGTGGGAACAGTAACTCATTTCTTAGTCAAAATATTGGGTAGGATTCGAAAAGTATTACATGCGAAGGCAAGCCTTCTATTTAATTCTGATTAGATGGTACCATCGCCGGATATGACTGAGCCGAGATATTTAAAATGGTCGACTTCCACCATGGCTTCTCCTTCTATTCACTAATAGATCAGGAGAGTCTGATGGGATCCTCATAACTTTGACTTCCGGGCATTTAGATAGAGGCCGGCTTTTATAGCGCAGCAATTAGAAGCCATCAGACAAGTGAGCCCGCTCCCCGAACTACTCACCAGAACAATATCATCTGCATACTCCGGATCAGTAAGATATCTATCCAGATACTTCTAACTGCGTCTTCCCGCTAGAATGAGACCTTCGTCATTGCTAAGATCAACACTGATTTGAAGAAAAAAATCGAGAACAATGTTAAATAGCGACGATGAAAACACATCTCCCTGGCTAACTCTACAGTTAATAGGGAAGCACTGAGGTAACTCTCTTTCAATTTTGAAAGCATACAAGGTTCCTAAATTCATTTGTTCGAAAATAGAAACGCCGTGTTCAGATAACCCATTACATTTTAAGAAAATTTAATGAATCCCTTAATAAAAGTTTACTACTCATATAAAAGTATTGACAGACAATTGCACATGAAGTGCATGTGACGTAAAAGTGGCACCCTTCAAGTATGATAGCAGCTCACAACAAATGATCTACAGTGTCCTTGTACATTTTCAGATCACTAAGGGCAGCAATTCGTTTAAGTTTCGCTGCCATTTGTTTGATAATACCGTCCCGCTTTGCGCATTCCGTACAGCCAATAGAAACCTGGCAGCCAACCGTGCGCAAACCTGAAAGAAAAAATGAAAAGCAAACAATAGCAGCATTCAATCATACCAGGCTCCAGGTCGACAACATTGGCCTCTTCATGAATGAAGTCCGTGGGCACTGGAATGCGATGGGTTTTCGTCACGTGCAGAACAACGCCACGTCTGTAGCAAAATGTCGCATGGCATAAAGTACAAGAGAATCTTCCTTTCGAAAATGAATCACTTGACTTCGAAACCGATACTGATTTCTGGGGTTTGCTTGTGGCAGTAGATATGGAGGTAGTTGTTGAAGAAGCCGTATTTTTACCTATCTTACAGTTTAATCGATCAGGAAGCTTAGTACTACTTGAAATGACCTTCAGAGAGAGCAAAGGCGACAGGATCTTGTGTTTCTGTAAAACGCTATCATTAACTACCTCTCCATGCCCTCTGGCCGTTTTTAATTGTTTCCCACCACTGTCGGGAGCTGAATCATCCTTGAAATCACAGGACAGCTCCCCTCCGCAACTTTTCTCTTTCAGAGGAGGCGTGCTACTAGTTTCTTCGGCGCAGTCGTCGTCGGTGCTTTCACCAGTGACACATTCTGGATCTGAATTCTTGAAAACCGTTGCATCAGGTCTAGAAACACTCAAAATACTGGAACTCGAATCCATGGAAGTTTCCATCAGCAAGGGCACATTTCC